AATATGTAGATAATACATTTCATCACAACAAAAAACATTAAGTGGAGAGCAGATGCTCAGGCTATCAAGCCCAAAAAGGTGGTCAATACAGATGAGCACAAGAAATCATCTCTAACAGAACAAAGAAGGTTTAAGAAAATGGTCCGAAAATATGAAAGAAAAAACAAAAACAAATTGAAAACATCTGGTATGGCATTCTAAAATTCCCTACCTCTATGACCATATCCACATCTTTGAAGTCAGAGTAGTCCAAACTACCTTTAAGCAATGTGAGAGCTTTTTGTGCCTTGTCCTGTGTCAGCCCCCTTCTAGTTACTAAGCCTTCAACGTTTCCTGTTGAAACAAAAAAACAATGATAAAGAATTTGAAGATTTCAGATTTCACATATCACCAGTGCACTGCATACACAAGAAACCATGCCAGAGTGTTATTTTGTTATTTATCTGAAAACAAGTGAACCACCAATCTGCTACAAAACTCAGCACGGACTCCCAGTTAAAATAAACAAGATCTAATGCAGCCTGAATCCTGAATCCTGAAGACTCATTCATAAATCCAAAGTAAAATTAATAGTAAAAAAAATCATATGCTGGACTGCAGCCTGAATCCTGAAGACTCATTCATAATTCATAGGAAAATGGTAAATCTCAAGAATTCTGCCAATGAGGTAACCACCTTCTATCTTTTCTATGCCCTTCTGAAGATATTCAGAGTTGACTTCCTTTAGAACCACAGATATATTGCTGCGGAGAAGGGCTGTAGCAATGCCAGAACCCATCAGACCTCCCCCAATAATAGCAACTTTATTTATTTGCCTTGGTTTAAGGCCAACATCAGTAACATTGGGCACCTGCATAAGTTAAAATTTAAGTAGATACAACAAGAATCAAAAGGAGTGTAAAATGTAGAAACTGCTTCCTGGCAACAGAAGAAAATAAACACTCTTCACAAAATTTAAATAATTAGCAGAGGCATTGCATAAAAGCATCAATACAAATTCAATTACTTAAGGATGAATAGTGGATAACTGGATTTAGAAAGCCAAGCAGAACCATTTACAACAAGCAGACAAACATAAAACAAATGGGAAATCTCATTAAGAAGCCAGGAGAGGGTTGTTCAGGGCCAAATCTGTCAACAGATGTCATCAACACAAAGACAGAGGACTGGAAAAAAAAAATTTTAAAAAGTGAAAAAGGGACCGGGCAACCTAGTAAAGAAGCTACTTGTGTATCAGATCGTACCTTTGATGTTGCGCGTTGGGCAAAAAAAACATGGACAAGACCTTTTGCAGTGTCTGCTAGAAGTAACTCCTTAGAAACTTTAGCCTCCTGAAATAACAATTTAATTTGTAGAACATATGTGAACCGGCATGCCATTACACATATGAAGGACGAATAAACATGTATAACAAACAAAGCCAATGACATCAAAATTACCATTAAAAGGCCACTGTATCCTCCATGAACAATGCCATCCTCGATCACATTGAGGCATGCTTGGTGATGAGGCATATTGGGAGCAGTCTTCCTGGCTTGTTGTCTGGCAATTTTCAGTATCTCTCGAGCCTCAGACAGGGAAGCAAGTTTATCTGTCCTGTGAAGAGAGCGCAACCATGGTTTGCGTCTGTCTGCAATTTCCAAAGCCCATGAACTAGATACTTTCAGCAACTCTTGAGGAGATGCAATAGCATCTATAAGACCAAGCTTCTTCCCTTCTTCAGACAGGATTGGCTTCGATGACTGAAAAGGACCACATGCTGTACTAAATTAGAATCAATGCAAGATGAGCTTATAATGAATAATAATTTTGAGTAAAATTTTAAGTTGTCCAAAACAAGCACACTGCGTGTGTTCAGCGTACGGAACTAAATATATAGTTTCAAGATAGAACATAAGAAATTATTTCATGACATTTGGGTATAAAGCTCAAACAAAATATAGTTTAGAAAAAGAACACAAGAAATTTCATAATTCTCAACATTTCAGTATGAAGCTCTAATAAATTCTAACTGTTCCACACTAAGCTATCTTTTCCTCTTATGCCTTTTGTCCCCTCAAAGCAAATGACAATGTTTTCAAATCAATATGGTAGATGAAGAATTGAAAGAATATAGTTGCAAGCACAAAACTAGAAAATTGAAAACAAATAAAAAAAAAAGAGCAGAGGAGCCAATTACCAGCATCATTTCAATTGCCTTCTGAAGCCCTGCAAGCCTTGGAAGACGTTGTGTGCCTTACATAGCAACAATATTTTCACATTTCAGTACAACAGTCGATATTATTTTAGTGTCCAATTTACCTGCTTTTGTAGAATAAAAGTTATACCTCCTAATCCAGGAATCACTCCAAGAGACAACTCTGGAAGACCAAGTTGAGTTCTTGGAGCAGCAATACGTGCATGGCACCCCTGCACGAAATTTACTAATAAGACGCAATTCCACTACGGTTCAGACAGCAAATTTATCACCAAAAATCCAAAAACCAGTAGTTGTCCACTCGTGAGTGGGAGCACAAACCAATGCCAACTCCAAGCCACCTCCTAGTGCAAGTCCTTCGATGGCAGCAACAACAGGCTTTTTCGAACCTGTTATACACACAACCAGTTAACTCTGCGCAGCAAAAATGGAGCCCAGTAATTGACCTTTCCGAAATGAACATTGGGGACAATACCTTCAAGTGTGTTGAGCACAAAGTCAAAAGATACATCGGGCATAACCAAAACATCCCCTACAACGCCACACAAAACAACGGTGAGTTCTCAATCCATTTCATCAGTAAACTCAATGCTACAAATAGAGAGAGACCAACATATTTCATTTCAATCATACCAGACTCGTGAACCTTCTCGAAAACATTGATATCGAAACCGGCTGAAAACCTTCCTCCACTGCCTTCATCAACCAAAAAACAAGAAAAAAAATTACAAAACGTCCACAGCAAAAGAAAATCAATACAAAGATTCAAGCTTTCGATTGTCTAAACTTAGACTTTCCAACTGGGACGAACTAGATCGAACAGAACGTCACCGCATCACAATTCAATCGAAAGAGCGGGAATCGAAGCTACATTACCAGTCAAAACGATCGCCTTGACGTCGTTTCGCCTCGCGGCCTCCTCGAATTTCTCCTTCAAGCTAGCTACAGCTGCAGAAGCACCAAAATATCAATAAACAATTACGAACCGGCAGAGATTTGATAATGCAGAAGCAGAGCTAGCCCGTTTACTCGGTATGGCCAAGGCGTTGACAGGTGGATTGAAGATGGTGATGACTGCAACGCCGTCGTTGCCGACCTCCAAGGTGACCTTGACCTTCGCCATGGATTCGAAAACCAGAGTGAAGAAGAAGAAGCGAGTGCTATTTTGAATGGTGCAGTATCTCGATTCATCTCGAGGAGGAATTTATTGTCGGTGCCTCAATTATTTTCTACTCATTTCTTTAACAATTTTTCTTTCGTGAAGAATCGATCAAATTTAATATGTTTTATTCAATCACGCTGTATCGGATTCTGTGCAATGTAGGGACAACTTCATCTTCACAAAATAATTTCACGGACTGATCATGCTTTATACTTAAATCGCTTAGGCCATCTCCAACCGATGGCTGGCCAGAGGGCTCGTTTTAGCCCTCTGGCCTTCCAAGATTCTCCAAGATATTAATATTTTAATGAACAGTACAGGGCCATATTTGCCTCCGTCTCCAACCGAGGGCTAGAGGGCCAGAGGGCTCGTTTTAGCCCTGTCACAAAAAACCATCTCCAACCGAGGGCCAAAGGGCCATAGGGCCAAACATAATTTATTATTTAAAAACTACAATTTAAATTCAAATCTAACGGCTAGGTGACGTCAACATGATGTTAGCTAGCCGTTGGTAGCTGACATCATGCTGACGTCAGCTAGCCGTTGGATTTGAATTTTTTTTTGCTATAAATATGGTGGATATTGGGCTATAATTCACACAACTTTAAATTCAATCTATTTCAATTCAATCTCTTGCAATTCAATCTCTTTCAATTCAAGTTTGCAATGAATTCCAACTTTGGATCTTCATCCAATTCCAAATTATGTTGTATAATTTGTATGTTGGTTAATGTTATTTAATGTTATTTCATATTGTTTAATGTTGTTTCATGTTACTTAATTTAATTTAATGTTGTATAAATGGCCTAGGAAAAAAATAGAATTGAAAAAAATTATGAAACAAATTTTGTGAAATAAAAGTTATAGGAAATAAAATATGAATCAAATTTTGTAAAATAGAAGTTATAGGAAAAAAATAGAATTTAAAAAAAAATTGAAACAAATTTTGTAAAATAGAATTGAAAAAAAATATGAAACAAAATTTGATTAATATGAAAAGGAAAAAAAAAGGAAAAAAAAAAAGTTAAAAAGAAAAAAAAAAGGCCTAATAATACAACGGCTACTAGCCGTTGTATTAAAAAACATTCAAACTATTAGTGTCGGTTATAACCGACACTAATAGTAGAACTATTAAAAAAAAAAAAAACCTGTTTAATGCTGTCGGTTTTAACCGACAGCAATAGAAAACATAAAAAAAAAATAAGCCAGCCCGGGGCTGGCTGGTTGGCCGAAAGCAGCCAGCCCTCCAGCCCTGCAGCCCTTTCCGATCCCGTGGGGCCCTCCCAGATTCCAGAGCCCTCTGGCCTAGCCCTCGGTTGGAGACGGTTTTAGGGCTATTTTCGGCCCTCTGGCCCTCTGGACCCTTCGGTTGGAGATGGCCTTAGCAGAAGCTTAAGTCATAAAATTTCACAAATTCCCAAGAATGGGCAATCATGTCCCGTTTCTTACTCCTCTATGTAACTAAGTTACCTTCGATGAATGTAAAGTAACCTGACGTTAAACGTATATCGTCAACTGAATAAAATTACTTTGTCAGACTTCCTTTGAAATATCGCAAAATCCTTAGTGCACATGTTGTTTTCCAAATCTTGGTTAAAGGCTTGGTCAAAGACTTCAGGGTTGTTGGGAGTCAATGGATCATATCAATATTTACTAGCGGGTCGACCCATGGGCCCAATGGATGATAACCAAGACGCCCTAAACAAAGAAACCGAACCCGACGTCGTTTCCTGTGGCCGTCCCGCATAAACCTTTCCGTCGGCGAGCCCAGTGACAGAGTGACCAAAACCCCACAAAGCTCGAAGCTTTCTCCAATGGCGTCCTGCAAAGTTATCTCTAGGTTATCCTCCCGATTACAGCCCTTCACGCGCAATCTCACCAATAAGTCGCCGGCATCCGAGCTCTCTCAGCTCAAGTCGAGCCTTCTCTCTGCTGCCTCCGCTCCTGTCCGACGCATTTCTGGTCTTTCCAGGTATATCAGCTCCTCCAATTCTCATTTCTCGTCCTCGTTTTCTTACGACCTGTTTGGCGCCCGAGAAAGTGTAGGAATAGTTTGTATCTCAGAAATATTTTGTCTTTTTGTTAGGTTACCAGTGGAGTTGGGATCAATGATGCCGTTGCACAGCGCGGTGGCTTCGGCGCGGTTGATATCGAGCTTGTCGATTGACTCTCAGAACTGGGGATTAGTTCCTCATGGTGAGATTTTTACTTTAGTTTGATGATTTACGCGCTTAATCTCTGTAGCTTGTACATGACATGATGTTAGCTAGAAAATGCACACCATCTGCTTGTTATTTGCCAACTTAATCTACTTGTTAAATGTCGGTGTTTAGCTTCGCGGACTGTCGGATCAGTCTCGCACGAACAATTTGAATTGTTTGATGCGATGTTGCTTCATGATAAAATAAGCTATCAGTTGCATTGTTGTAATAGTTGTTCGATTGCCCTCGAGTAATCCTCTTAAGTGAAAATGTGGTTTAGAACTGCTCTGGAATGACATTACGTAACAAAGTTCAACTTCTGTTTGAAACAATTTAAGTTTTCTTGTTTTGGATGCTCGGCGATGTGTGGTTTTTGAGCTCAGCATTTGCTTTGATTATAAACTCTCTCTATTTGATTGAGTTTTAGTGATCTAAATTTCAGATTCAGGTATATATGGCATTTTGTATTATTTATGGACTGGATTGGCTATCTTTTGCCTGCCTTCTTATGAGCCTCTGAGTGAGCTTGTATTGTTAAGACTCGAGAGATAACTACCAGGGGCAGAGTATGGTTGTTTTTGTTTTTTTGACGGAAGTTTTTGGAGCTAGATATATCCTATTGACTTAGAATTTTTCGGAGCCTCAGTTCGCTGCCTAGTAGTAGTTCATATAAAAAATGCTAGGGTGCTCCGTGGTTTATGAAGAAAAAGAAAAACAGACAAATCATTTTTAAGTCTAGAACTGGCATGCCATTTTCTTTGATCTTAAGAACTTAAACTAGACATGCGCATGTATTCACACCTGCACACTCTACCGAGTTGTAACAATGGATTCTTGCTAATCATCTTTATGTATAACTATATCAATCAAACGATATACAGCACTTAATGAAGCAACGGTTTAATTGTAAGTAAAAAACTTTGTTTTGCTAACCGTAAGTTGGCTTTACATCAGTCTCGATGTAATCATGTTCAGCCATGTTCATGTGATATCAAGTATGAACTCTAACACTTTCTTTTCTTTCACATATTTCAGGGATTTCAATGCCTTTATGACAGTGTCTCCCTGTATCAAGTTGTCTGGCATAGGCAATGTAGGTCTCGTGTTGACATTTTCTTTTACGATCACTTTAGTGACATAAGATGTTGAACAGTTCACCGGACACCCGTGTCTGTCGATTTTCATCCTTTTGCTAGAATTCCTTCTTCAATGAGGCTGGATGCTTTTCTGTTTATCGATGTTTGGGCATTACAAAAGGCGAGATGTGCCCGTCATTGTGTACCTTAGTTTATCCATGAGGCCGGACACTTTCTTTCTTATTGCTTTCAGCTACATGTCCAATTACAATTTATACACGACAAGTTCAATTTCAAAGCTGTTTGGAAAAGTTGCCTACCTACAGAACCCTTCTCTCTCAGTCAGTTACTTGTGAGTTATGGCACAGCCCTTGAGAGGGTAAGATAAGGAGGCCCTCGGTACCTTGCCTTAGCTGATAAGATCCTTTTTTTAACTCTCCTCTTTTAGTCTCCTGCGTTTTTATTTAATTTAGAGTGCAAGTGACTAAAACAGGAGAACTGGAGTAATGTTAGGGAGATTAAATTTGTAGACTAAATTTTGGAAACTAAAAGATATGAAAGTTGATGATTGGTTTATCACTTAAACGTTCATAAACGTACTTATTTCTATTGATGACAAATCATTTAGTTTGTAAATATTTTGAGTTTGACTCCTATGAATTAGAGTCGAACTCACACACTAGTTCCTAAAATTTGAGTCTAGTAGAGCGAGTACAGTGTAGAACATAACTCTTCTTACGATTAAACTCGTACAACTACAAAAACAATGGGTAGGCCGAAGCCCGAAATATATAAGAATCAAACTTATATAAACCACCATGGAACAATATTGGATATAAAGAGCTTGTTGTTTCATTAGTTTCAGTGGAGTTTACTACTTTACCATCGCACTGTTAAGCAAATCGCACATCCCCTTCTTAAATAGTAAGGGCAACTTCGTCATTTCGGACCACTTTCGGATTACTTCTGTATTAAATCCATATATCGGGTAACAGAGATGGAGCTCTTCCAACGGCCACACATGGCCTCCTTCACCTCCAACGCACTGCAGCAAAAGCACCACCACCACCACCTCCTCTCCGCCACCCTCTGTAAGTGCCCGTCAGCTTTCCACGTCTTTAAATTCCGTTTTCCTTCTCATATTTTCACTTTCTCGCCACCCAAACAGACCCTTAATCTTTATCCACTTCCACTAGCTAGACAAAACATTAGCCACATAGTTGCAAAGTTATCCTCGACAACGTACCACGAACCGTACACAAAATCGCAGAACTCAGGAACTGGAAGTGGTTCGGAGTTTTCTTCCTTAAAGTCCACGGAACAACGGGTTTCGAGAAAACCCGTAAAGAACCATGTCGGTTCAGGAGTGGAGAAGAAGGGTGAAGATACTAGGAAAAATCTTGTCTTTAGAAAGAGGAGGGAGGGGAATGGTCCTAATGGGCCAAATGGGCCAAATGGGCATTCTTCTAGGAGGTTTAGAGATGAGAATGCGGTAAAATCTTCGAAAAGCCGAGGCAGTTTAGGGGTAAAGGAGGGGAGGAACAAGAGGGGTGGTGGTAATCAGGTGGGAGGAGAAGAGAGAAGGGGGAGAGGGTTGAAGAAGTATGACGCTGATTTGCCGGAAGTTAAGATGCGAGTAGGTTTGGATATGTGCTCGAAGAGAGGGGATGTGATGGGTGCAATTAGGTTCTATGATTTGGCTCAAACGGAAGAGATTAAGTTGGAGCAGTACCATTATACTGTGCTGTTGTATCTCTGCTCTTCTGCAGCTGTTGGTGTTGTTCGTCCGGCGAAGAGTGGGAGTGGGAGTCGGACTTTGGATACCTTGGATTCGCACAGTGAAGAAACTAGGGTGGGATCCATGGATACATCAAATTTGGACAATGAGGACCTGGATGATACCTGTGGAAGTAACAGTTTTGATGATGATTCGGATGGTACTTCCGATGAAAATGAGAATTTAGCATGGTTTTCTAATGGGTTTGTGAAGCGAAATTCCCGCCTTTTAGATGGACTGAACTACCCCACAAAGGGTGGAGATGATTCTTCTAATGTAAAAGAAGGGAGCAGTAAGCAAGAAGATAATGGAATTCGGGTTAGTGAAGATGTGAAGAAGTATGCGCTCAAAAGGGGATTTGAGATCTATGAGAAGATGTGTTCGGATAATGTTCCGGTGAATGAGGCAGCATTGACATCTGTGGCTAGAATGGCAATGTCAATGGGTGATGGAGACATGGCATTTGATATGGTGAGGCAAATGAAGTCAATGGGAATAAATCCTAGACTCCGTTCCTACGGTCCTGCATTATCTGCTTTTTGCCATAGCGGAGATATTGATAAAGCATTTGCTGTTGAGAAACACATGTTGGAGCATGGTGTTTATCCGGAAGAGCCTGAACTTGAAGCCCTCTTAAGAGTGAGTGTGGGAGTTGGTAAAGGCGACAAGGTGTATTATATGCTGCACAAACTAAGAACAAGCGTAAGGAGGGTGTCGCCGTCTACTGCAGATTTAATCGTAAAATGGTTTCTTAGTAAGGAAGCTTCAAGAGTGGGGAGAACAAAATGGGATCGAAGGTCTATAAGGGATGCAATCGAGAATGGAGGTGGGGGCTGGCATGGGCAGGGCTGGTTGGGAAAAGGGAAGTGGTCTGTGTTACGTACTACAATCGGAGATGATGGCTTGTGCAAATGCTGTGGGGAAAAACTGGCCACAATTGACCTTGATCCCGTAGAAACAGAAAACTTTGCCGAGTCAGTTGCATCAATAGCTATAAAAAGAGAGAAAAACTCAAGCTTTCAGAAATTTCAAGTACGAAAATCCCCATCAATATGTGTTGTTTTAGTTTAATCTTGTATTCGGCCTTGACTTAGGAAAGAAGAATATTTTGTTATGCAGAAATGGCTGGACTATTATGGACCTTTTGAAGCAGTGGTGGATGGAGCTAATGTAGGCCTTTTCAGTCAGAAGAAATTTGTCCCGTCCAAGGCAAGTTGCACGATGCTTATGCACACACACAAATCAAGTTTATGTTCTCATTCGTGATTGCTGTAAATTTTATTGGTGGATTGTTTAGGTCAATGCTGTTGTTAATGGAATACGGCAGAAACTTCCTTCAAAGAAATGGCCACTTATTGTTCTTCATAATAGGCGCATCACCGGAGGCAGAATGGATGAGAGAGTAAATAGGGCACTGATTGAGAAGTGGCAAAATGCCGATGCTCTATATGCAACACCTACTGGTTCAAATGATGATTGGTGAGTAATATAACATTGGAGGTAACTTTGTTATGACTTTTCCATCAATTTTCTGATTTAATAGCTAATTTCTTGTTAATTATCTAGGTATTACATATATGCATTTAAAGTGCAATGATATTACCTGTGATTCAGGTACTGGTTGTATGCAGCTATAAAGTTCAAGTGCTTACTTGTGACAAATGATGAGATGAGAGACCATATATTTCAACTTCTCGGAAATGATTTCTTTCCCAGATGGAAAGAAAGGCATCAAGTGAGTGAGGATCTTTTGAAGCTAATATTTCATCGTGCCTCTGTCGATTCTTAATGTGAACTTTGCAAAGATAATAAACTTATCTATGCTGGACTAGATTACTAGGTCCAATCTGTTTTACACTTCTTGCAACCAACGATACTTGTTTTCCGGTATGATTTCTAGTCCTATTTTTCTAACTAGCTAGCTATCGTTTTCTAATTTCAGGTGCATTTCACTTTTTCTGATGCTGGTCCAGTCTTTCACATGCCTCCTCCCTGTTCTGTTGTAATACAGGTAAATCAAATTAACTGAATCTTTGATTCGAAAATTCTGTATCTGTACATGTTTCTATTTCTATCTTTTGAAAGCCGACTCAACAGAAATGTTGGTACACTTGGTGAAATTATGTCCTTAGGAATCAGAGGAAGGGCACTGGCACATTCCAGTTGTATCAGAACATGAGCGCGAATCAGAAAGAACATGGCTATGCATTATGCGAGCTAAATCACGCACAGCAACAAAGGATTCTGCAGCCATCCCTGAAGGTGATTTTCAAGGGCTAGCAATTTGTTTGTTTCTTATAGCGCAGTCACTTTTGTGTTTATAAATTTACCGAGTTCATTGTGTGGAATAGATGCACAACCCCCTCGTCATAACGGATATGCAAGGTCAGCCACCCGAACTGGTGTTGATTCACAGCCACTGAATAGTGGCAACAAAAAATATTCTAAACACAAACCTAAGGAATTTATCAAGAATGTCAAAGATATTCTGTTGGGGTCCGTGACCTCGGATCATCACTCGATTGTGCCAGACATTGCAACTGCAGAGAAGATTGGTGGATGCACCATTGATTTCCAAATATAAAGTTTATGCAATCCTGTTCAGGAACTTCACTGAGGCATTAGGTAGTAGCCAATGAGCTCCCAACTGAGAGGTTTTTTGTATGGTTGGCAGCTGATTTTGCTAGTTGGAGAAGGATAGAGATTTGCGATTGCAGAAAGCACTTTTGGGAATATACTTTTAGTAGGTTAGAGCTTTTTTTCTCCTCCTTTTGCACGCGTGTGTAGAGTGGGGTTGGCTGATAGGGTGGTCCTCATATGCCACAAGCCTTTCCCTTGGTTACATGATCTTTGATTTAAGTAAACTCAATTTAATGCCAGACCTCATAGCTCAAGTAGTTAAGATCATTTATCTCTGCTTTTAAGATCATGTGTTTGATTTCTCTTTCACCAATATCGCTTGTTTGTAAAAGGGAACTCAATTTGATATATACATTGACCTTCTAAATGAGAACTTAATAACATGTTGGAACGAGCCTCGAAATTATTCAAATTCTTGACTTGCCCTTCATTCTCGTTCCCTCTCTGTTGTATTCACGACTTCTCTTTTCTTCTCTCTTAGATTTCTGACTTTCCCAATTCATGATTTTCTCTGTTCCAAATAAGTTAATATGCAACCAGTTTAAGGTAATCCAAATCGAATCTAACCACATTGGGACTGCCAATAAACCTCGTTAATTGATTGTAACAATCTTATCATTATCTGACAATTAGCCTCTAATTATTCTTGATCCCATACAAAGAATGTGTAATTACAATCATACCTCGAAAATAATGCAGTCATTCATTCAAATCAAATATACTTTAATGGATGGGCAGTACCACCTGGCACCTTTGATTCGCTTGTCAGTCACTGACCAACACTAATTCCTTTTTAACTTTTCTTTTAAAGAGAAGCTAAGCAGAAGAAAAAGGCAAAGAACACAAAATCACGGGCTGAAAACTCTGTTTTTGTCATCTTTCTCTTTCTTGATACACATGCTGCTGTGATCATGGAGAGATTTTTCACTATGTCAAGAACATGGTCCCGGTCCACCAAGAGGTATATGCAAATTGAGACCAAGTTAGTCCTATGATCATTCGGAATTCGATAAATATATATGTGAAGGTCTAACCATCCGAATGTTTTGTACCTGTCCCTTTTGTACCTACCAAGTTACCTGCTAGGCATATTTTAACGTATTGCATTGACAACACTTAACAAATTCTCTTGATATCACTCGTTAGATAGCTTCGGCATATGTCGGTATCTGTTGACATATGCGCATCATAGTATGACTCACGACAACAAGTCCTTCCAGTATTCGACGAAATGCCTCAATGAATAAACAGAAAAAGATTTCATGCTTTGCAATCCGTTTCTATCTAACAGATTGAACATTGGGACACCCCAAGATCCGAATCCTAAATCCGCCACTGGGTACATCAAATGTCATAATATAAGTAATTGGATACTTAAAAAAAATTCAATCACTTATTTTATAACATTCGATGTAAAGAAACGTGTTCTCGACATAACAAAAAATTTCTTGTGATCATGCCATGGAGAAGAATCTCTCTCCTCTATTAATGTGTTTTGTTTTGTATAGTTTTCTCTGTGCTTCCATGCTCATCATCTCTAATTCTCTATATATCACGTGTCTATCTGTATAGTCACAATCTCTGTGTCTCCTCTCGCTCAAAACAAAAACAAGCCACCCACCCCACTGTAATTGTACCATTATCCCTTTCTCAAAGTTTTCAAGTTTCAAACATGGAGGAGGAGATGCAGAGCAACTCCAAATCCCCCTCAGGGAGAGGGCAAGAATCAGAGGCAGAGTCTAAGGACATTGTGAGCTTTGATAAGTCTCTTCAGGTACGTTTTCTCAACTCAACATTCAAACTTCGTCGTCGGTCTGATAACCATTTCATTTTTTTGTTTTAGTTTTTAGGGGTGGAGGAAGAGTGATGTGAGATATGTAGAAGACTTGTATATGAAATAGTACACAAGATGAAAACTACAAACCCGAAACAGTTTTAAGTTGTATTCGCTCTCAAGTTTTTCTGTAATGCATTCTCTTTTGTTTTCTCCGTCGTCCCACCCTCCACCCCTCTCCATCTCCCATCTCTCTTTCGGTGTTTCCTCCCATATACTTTCCCTTAATTTCTAGCAAAAAAATAAAAGCACAAAACGAAAAACAAAATGGTTACTAAAAATAGCGTATATTATTGTCCATATTTTTGTTTTTTGCTTTTTATCTAGTTTTATTTCTTATGAAAGTGCCAAATTCATTCGGGTTGTTCACGGGTAAGCTTTTGATAACATAAACAAGTCAAACCCAATACTTTAGAAAGTAAAAAACCAACTTTGTAACGATTGGAAATGGTTTTAGAAAAAATGGCTGAAAGTGCTTTCACAAAATGTGCTTTTTAAGTTCTAAAAGCACTTTCAGCAAAAAGTAGTTCAAGTGGTTTTGCAAATTTACTTGCATTTTTACTAAAAATTGATTTCATAAATATTTTCACCCAAAACATTTTCAGCTATTTTAAAAAGCACTTTTAAACGAGAAGGGGTGTTTTTTTCTAGTTTACTGAAATCCATTTTGTTTGTGGGTTAAACTTGAAGGAACTAAGAGACCTGCGCTCACAACTTCACTATGCTGCTGACTACTGTGAATCAACCTTCCTAAAGTCCAAAGAAAAGAAAGTGTGAGTCCCTCTAAACAAACCTAATTAAATTCCAAAACCTCCAAATAATGACATCCTTCGCCCTCACACCATGAGCTAGTGTTCAACATTTTTTCTTACTTCAAATTTTGCAGTGTGATGGAAAACACCAAAGAGTACATATGCAGAGCTGTGGTGACTGTTGTCGATCATCTTGGATGCGTTTCTGCCAACCTCAACGGCCTCATTTCTGAAACTAACACATTTTCGGAGGCTGAGATTCGAATTGACTGCCTCAAACAAGTTGCTACTGCCACCTTATGTCAATCTAGCTCGCTTATGTTAGTTGATACATAGGTTTATGTAATTGCAGCAATCACTAATCAGTATGCTTTGTGTTTGTCAGAGGATGTTCCTATGTGAACAATACACCCACAAATTTTCCCTGCCTAGAGTCCGATGGAAGGACATTATCCCGCAGCATAAAGCAAGGTTTTTATCTGCAGGTAAAATCCGAAACTGCTGTGCTACTTGCAAAGATGTTCATAGTCTTCATTTTTTTACATCTTCTAATTCATTGTTTTGTGATCAGCTACCAAAGAAGCTGAGAAACCCAATGACGATTTGAGGTAAAGTTTTCGTCTCCATAATTTCATAGCAAAAATTGTTTTAATTTTATTTGGCTGCAGGATATTGTACATTGATAAACAATCTTTAAATTTGATGAATTTGATCATCTATGCAGGGCTATTCCAGGAAATCCAGCCTCTCGTAAAACCATTGACAAGCAAGAACTTGGCAAAGATGTAGCAATGCCACTTTCCTTGTACACCTCGTCTCACAAACCGTCATCGTCCAAGGGCGAAAACAATTCAGTTTTAGGTAACATGATCTTTAGTTTTATGAATTGTTTTCAACATACTCTAGCACATATGATTCGGGACTCTCAATCTTTAACGTCGATTATTTTACTCTAGTGCCAGTCCGTGATGGCCTCTCAATCCTGTCTAGAGGTCCAAACCCTACATTTCATTTCCAGGTTAGTTGAGACACACATAATATATGTATTACACGATGTTTTCTACAATTAATTTGTCTCCTATTCCTTCCATTATAGCATGTCTCTTCTTGTGTTGTCTTGCAGGAATCTCGGAAGATTACTGGCCGCCTCAAGAAATCTGGGCACAGTAATGACATCTTGGCACTCGTTAGACGAGCAAAAAGAATGGTATGAAAAAAGAGAAGAAGGCGTATTTGTATCACATTGTAGATCTCATCTCTTCCTAGTAGATTATTCCAAGCTTATCTTTCTTTCTTTCTTTCTCAATGGCTAAGGATGATTGTTATGGTTGTGTAAATGAAATTAATCAAAGTTGATCCCAATTTTATCCATAACAATGTTTCCGGTTTTAAAGCAACTGCGATACACAAATCAGCAATATCCAATATTCCAATGTTTTACTACCAGCATTTTACATAGTGAGTCGCATCCGCAAAGTTTATGTCCTTTCGTTGCATAAAATTTAAATTTAGTGCACATCAAGCACAATATCCCGAAGGATGTTTTCACTCCGATTAACTCCAACATTGCCAATTTCATATAGAAGAGTGCATTGGTTAGTAACTTGGTAAGAATTCGGAATTTCAATCTCACGAGGTTTTTCTCTACTGGGAGAGACTGTCTGACTCTTGCCACCAACTGGAAAAGGGTTGGCAGCGAAACAGGGTAGGTTCTTGTGGTGATGGTTTTACTTTTATGGTCAAGTTGAGGCAATTTTAGATTTTATTCGAGTGATAGTCTAATCTATACTACGGGAATTGGGATTGAAACTTTGGGTGCAGAGGGGAAGACATATTGTCTTAGCCAACTAAACTACAGTTTAGTTGAGACCTGAGAACAAAATTTGTCGAGCGAAAAAAAGGAACGAAGACCATATAGCCTTTGAGAAAAACTAGAATACATGTATTGCTGTTTCTAACAACCAGCAAAGATCAGAATAAGCACATCCCAAATCTCAAATGCACCAAAACCCCACTAATTACAAACACCCAAGAGACTTCCCAATCCTTCAATAGGATGGAAGAACAAGCACACTACTTAGAAGTATATCTGTATCTCTCTCTATGTCTATCTGCCCCTCTCTCTCCCTTGTTCTTCAATTTTTCCATCAATGCCGAGCCGTTGGACTTCTTAGACCACTCAACTTCTCAAGCTTCTCCAAGTATGAAAATCTCTTGGTGTTTATGCTAGCGGGAGGTTTACTCATGATCTTGTCACTGTCTTCATTAAAGCAGCTCTCCTTGTTGCCCGCCGAACTATCATTGTCTATGTCATTCTCTTCCATTTCTGCATTCCAATCCATGAACTCAAACAGTGTCTTTGTTGGTGTCGCGTCCCCGTCGTCCCTAGAATCCATTGAAAGCCTCATGTTTGATGATGATTTTCGAGCTTGAGAATCAGCGTAAAGCACATCTTCGATCATGGACATGACTTTGAAGGCCAAGCTTTCGATCACCCTCGAATAGCTCTCTAGGATAGCGTACCCTACATCCTGCGTAGAAACAAAAGAAACGCGGTTATTAGATTTGAAAAACAAGTTAACAAGCGCAAGATGTAAAGGAGCAAAATATGTTTATATGTTCGGCAGTTTAGTTCTTACCATATTGAATTGAATTTTACTTATGTCAAGTGCAGATTGTGGGATTCCTGGGAACTTCTGTTTCAATAGAAGCAAGATAGTCTCTACTCTCTCTTCGAAGAGCTCTCTCTTCTCCAAGCTCACGACCGAACTCCACGAAGACTTTCCATTCTTTTGGTTCATCTTTTGCTTCCAAATTACAATAGAAGCCTCAATTCGGTCTTTGAGGTCAAGCACTTTGTGCTCTGTGGACATGTCCATGGAGCCAAAGAACTCCAGAGGATCAAAGTGGTCCACCGTTATGCTCTTATAGATTGAATCACCGAGGCTAGCCCTACCATTCTGTCAAAAGAAACCAAAGTCAACCGTTCTTTCCATTACGAAAACAATATCTTGGAGACTAATTAGTCAGAGTGTTACGTGTTATACCTTGGGAAGGGATTCAATGTAGTTTTCGGGTATGCCCATTTCAGCTAGCACTTGCGCGTTGATGGCCATTGCTGCTTTTAGTACTTGGTTCACAGATTCCTTCTGAAATTGCATCCACCTTCGGCATTCATCTGAAAGCCCTTCGGGGGGAACTTTAACCATGGGTTTCCACCATTTCTCGTCATTTCTCTGGGAATTATCATCATTTTCAGAATCTTGGGCGCCTTTTTTCACATACCAGAACTCACTTGGGGTTCCAAAGCTATCCAAGTGACCCTGTTTCGTATAACCAATTAGCAATAGGTGTATAATTCTGATATTTTCTAGCTAAACCAGGAATTAGGTGAGGAATGAAGGTACTTACAACAAGCATTGCATCGAGCTTGCGCAATGCAGGAATGTTCATGTGCAGATCATTTCTTTGCCGGGTCACCATTATCTATCATGTCAAAAAGAAAACAAAAAGAATTTAGAACCCTACAAGTTTGGAATTTTGAGCTATGTGAAAATATATGGCATTGGACAATCTGACAAGGGGAGAGAGAGAGAGAGAGAGAGAGATAAAACCTCCATGTTTGTTCCATTCTGTTGCGAAGGGACGAATTCAACAATGTGATCTGTCACGGACAAAAGCCAACCTATTTCTTTCACCCACCGTGCTTTCGCTTCTGAAGACATAGGCTCCAGTTTCCTTTGCTCTCCGAAAACGGATGCTGTGTTGTCATAGGAACAAAGGAGAAAGCAAAGAAACCCCATCAGAATTACCCTCGTTTGGATTTGGTATTTTAACTTGCAAATATATTAATGCAGTTGCTGTAAGGCATAAATTTGTACCTGCTAGGTTGGTTATGGCATTTGATAAAGCCAACGCCGAAGAGACGCCCTTTCCACCACCCGACATATCTTCCCCCAAAAGCAGCTTAGAGAACCTTTCCTTCATCATTTCCATATCTAAACACAAAATATTCAAACAATTTATCAAAATTGATCTTTCATCTAGCTACCATTGTGACAACTGATAAGAAATATGTATAGCGTGTAAAAATTATATTTGCAACAAAATATTTACCTGAAGGCCTCTTGGATTTAGGACTTTTCATCTTTTCACCTTCATCTGTGCCTTCATCTGCACCATTATTGCGATTAGCTCCCCACGTTCCTTGTGTCTCCACCGGGCCGCCCTCTGGTGTAGTCTTGGGATTCAGTAATTGAGCGGTATCGCTATCTCCCTCCCCGTCCTGCCCATTCTCAAAGATCAAATTCTGAAGGTGTCTCGGGATCTCAAACATTCGTTTCATCTGGAAGGATTTTGTCTTCTGCACTGTTTGTTGTTGGGATGTAAGAGCTCGGACCATTGTGGAACTCGAAGACCTTATTTTCGTTCGAGATTGCACAATCTAAAGTTATAACAACAATCTTAAAAATCCTATGAGAATACTGGAAAGAAAAAAGAAAAAAGTAGGAAATATTTCTTCACCTTCGTCTTTCTTGGGAAACAAACAACAACAATGGATGTTGTTGCGTGGGAGAAAGAAGGAGAGATTTTGAGGGGAGATAGTTTTCTTTTCTTCGTTCTCTCCCAACAGAGAGGGATTGAGAGATGTTAGAAGAAAATATGAAAAGGGTATTTTGGAATTTTCGACTTCGAAAAGTTTGAAGAAATTGGGAAAAAGAAGCAGAGGTGATTAGTGCAGTTTTCTGTTTCTGCAGCTAAACAACGTGGAGTGCATATGTGTTGAGAAACAAAAACAGAATGTGGGGTTGACGTAATTAAGATTAATTCAGAAAAAGATTAATTAGTGAATTTTTTTTTTTCTGGGGCTGATTGTGTTTCTTGGATGAATGGTGGTTAATAAGTTTTCTGTTCTTTAAGTTTGTTTTTATAGAGGGATTGGTGATAATTTTGATTTACACTTTCTGTACTTTTAATCTACGCGTTTTGGACGGTAAAAATGGGCAACCGGTGGTTGTATATTACTATTTTTGCATGAAATGGTCGTCGCCAATTCTAAGCTAATTTGACTGGTTTTCGCTAATAATGTTTCGTTTACTCCTAAGGATCAAGTCTTAGGGCAAATCTCTTATATGCTCTTTGGTATTTTCCAATCAACCCGTGGCGGAATGAAATGGTGTACCGTTAATGTTCTGTGGTGTTACTATTATTAATTTTCGGATTATTAATGTGTTGGCTACAAGTTTATATTTTAGAACACAGTATAGCCAAATAAATTAAACACGTGTTATAATATGAGTGATCACTGATAATACAATGCAAAAATGTGAAGGGTGCACATTGAAAAGAATCTCGTTTGTGTCATCCCATGTGGTTTTAGAATCAAATTTCTAAGTTCACCAGAACTTACATATGACTATTTGGTCTAGCGATATTCGATCTTTACTTTGTTGAAGTAAGTTTTAAGTTTAAATATCACGAAAAACAAAAAGCTAAACATCACTTCGTTAAAGCATGTGACCAAGTTAATCTAGTGGCATCAATTTGCATTTTATTGAAAGAATTACAAGTTTAAATCTCACGAACGATTAATATTTATAAAAAAGAACCTTGGAGTCATACTATCTTGGTTCATGTGTACACACATGATTATTGCGTCATTTGCTTCTTGTAATCATTTGGGTCTGCAGTGCTTTGCACACAAAGATTACATGTGTGAAATTATGAAATTGTTCTGACTGTTGCTTTTTTTGGATTTAGAAATTGAAAGACGTGATGGTCACAACACAAACAACTAATTTAATTTCCAAGTCTATAACTCTAAAGCGGCTTCACCGGGAGGACAACTGGTTGACAGGCTTCTAATGGAGTAAAAGTCTATATCTTAAACAAGTCAACCATGAGGAGTCGAGATCCTTTTCCGGTCTCCGTGTCTAAGGATTCAGAGATTTGGGTCGTTGAAGAGAAAGAAAGAGAGAACCAAATCTTTGATTTGTTTGGGGTGAGTCAACGAAATGGACTAACCAAAACTACATGATTTAAAATAAGTGGTCTGAATACCCACACAGAGATTAGAAGAGGATCTCAATTCAACCATTAGGACTCTTCTAGGTTGCCAAAGTCAACACGAAGGAATTAAATTTTGTTTTAATAATGGTGAAACTATGTTCGAGTTGGTCTCCACCAAATGATCAAGCATTCTATGTTTCATACCACCAGTGACTCCACCGTAGCAACAATAGCTGCTTTGCACAAGGCGGGTAAAGGGCCGAGTCTGATTGCCAAGCTCATGGGAATCGTAGAGTACCACTCGAGATCTTTGCAGGCCGCTGTGAAGAAACAGTTCGAGGAAGGTGAGAATACTGTTTCAAGTCAGCAGAGACGATGGGCCAAGAGTTAAAAACCCCTCAAACTTTGGCTCAAACGCTGATCATGAAAAGAGGACCTTGAGGGAAGTTCTTGAAACGATGCGATTTAAAGGACTTTTGAAAGGCCGTTCTGTCGAAGAGCATAGGCCTGATTTTCATCATTCCAATCACTCCGGTTCCACGGAAAGATTCACTAGTGATAGCCCTCCCATTGTGCTTATAAGGCTCTTCCTGTTCCATCTATGGAATTGGAGGAGCCTCGTGCACCATATTAGTCCGAGGAGAGGAGGCTTTCTACACCAAAATGATGCTAAGAAGTTTGGGAGCACAAGAAGGAGGTTTGTAGTCTGCAAAAATGCACCGAAAAATGGTAAGCAGAAGAAACTCCAAGCAAAAGGCTTGACCATGAAGAACAAGCTAAAACCGGAAAGTGGCTGCAAAGAAACCTGAAGAAAGAGAGGCCAAGACGAAATAAAAGGCTTCAAGAAAGTTGAAAGCTTCTCACCCTGCAGATCTCTAACTACATAGAAAGGTGGCAATTGACAAGAAGGATGATAAAATCCACAAGGTGACTTCGGTTGTAGGAACTCACCAGAGAAACATCACAAAGAATTTAATGTCTCGGCAACCAAGTACTGCGACAATGGCAATCTCGAAACCCTCATCTCAGAATGTAGCATGTAACTCAACTGAGCGGAAAAGAAATCACTTAAAGCAAGAAATTCCAGCCTAAGAGCCTATGAAACTAAATCAATTGTATGTCTTCCTTGTCTCAAAATCCTTTTTAGAAAATTTCTGCTTTCTTTTTTCGCCATACAAAATGTAACTATTAGAAGCTAATGTTTGTTTTATGCAGAACAGAAATGTTGTGAGTGAAGAAATTGAGAAGAGTGATGCTTCCCCAATCAAAGCTGGTCTTGCAGACCAAAACCCTAAGGAAGAAGAAACAGATGCCTATGTATCTCAGAGTGGAGGTATGACCTTCTTGAATTACCAAGTAACTTGATAATGTAATGGCCACTGTTGACTATAAGTATGGTTACACTGGTAAAATGAGAACGTGCATTGACAAGGAAGCGTTGCGTGTTACCACATCTGTTTTCTTGCTCATTAGCGCTTTTAATAAGGACGTGCATTGACAAGAAAACTAGAGGGTAACATCTCTTATTCATAAGCACAACTAGCTAAAGAAATGTTTAAATTACAAAATCATGAAGTGACGTTTTTCTGACAATTCCAAATGTCTAGATGAACACATTAGCTAGGTAATCCTGAAACCTCAATGCGGTCAGGAAGAAGACAGTTTAGTCATCAGTTCCGGAATATAATCCAGTTTATAAATTGTTGCCCTAGTATCTGTTAAAAGTTAATGCTTTACTTAAACTGATTGTGCTTTACTGAAACTGATTCTGTGTAAAAGGGCTGACTGTTGCCTTTATCAGTCGACCCATTCTCTTTATCAGTCGACCCATTACTTTAGTCGGCTTATGTATTGAGCCATATATATATCAGAAATATCTGAATGAAAATATCATATCTCTGTTTTTAGAAAAAGCATCAGCCCTCTGTTTTCCAAAGCTCTCTGCACTCTGTTTCTTTGATTTTCAATCTTTATCATTTTATTCAAGCCTTATTAATGATGAAAGATTGTCTAAATACCAACATGGTATCAGAGCCAATCTGATCAAAGAGTGGGGCGTTTTTTTTATTCTCAAAAAGGGGAAAATTCTAAGTGAAACCCTAGAATCAAAATTTTTCAAATTCATGGCTGGTTCAAGTAGCAGTGGTGAGATTCGAACTCCTATCTTCAGTGGAGTAAACTACGACTTCTGGAGGACAAAGTTGAGAACAATTTTTGTATCTCATGATTTGTGGAGCTTGATTGAAGATGGCTATGTTCTACCTCCAAGCACTGTGGTTTTGACAGAGACTCAAACAAGGGAGTTGAAGGTAAACATCAAGAGAGATGCAAAAGCTCTTGGGGTCATCCAAAATGCTATCTCAGATGAAATTTTTCCGAGAATCTCAAATGAGACAAGTGCCAAATCAGCTTGGGATGTGCTGGAGAAAGTCTACAGAGGTTCTACTAAGGTAAGGGCTGTCAAACTCCAATCTTTGAGAAGAGATTTTGAGTATATAAGAATGAAAGATGATGAATTGCTAGATGATTACCTGAGTAGATTGTCTGAGATTATTAATCAAATGAAAAGCTATGGTGAAATCTTGTCTGATGAGAGAAATAGTTCAGAAGTATCTAATTAGCTTGCCAAGAAAGTATGACAACATAGTTTCAATCATAGAGGAGACTAAGGATTTGTCAACTTTGAGTGTTGAAGAATTGATTGGTTCTCTCAAAGGTTTTGCTCAGAGATTATCTAGGCATGACAACAATGATGTAGAAAATGCTTTCCAAACACTTACAGTGAATCCAAAAACTCAAGCTAGTTCAAGTCAAAGCAAAGCCAACTCCAACAAGAATTGGAAAGGCAAAAACAAAGCGTGGGAAGGAAAGGGTAATTTTGAAGAGAAGAAAAAGGTTGAGAAGAGTTTGTATGTTTCGAAGTGCAAAATTTGTGACAAAGCTCATTCCGGTGAATGTTGGTTCAAAGGAAAAGTGAAATGCCACAAGTGTAGCAAATTCGGGCATATGCAAAAGGATTGTAGCTACAAAGATAATCAGCTAGCTCACTACACCAAAGCAGAAGATGAAGAGACCAATATGTTTTATGTTGGTCATGATACAACCGTCCAAGAAGAAGCTAAAGTTTGGTTTGTGGACAGCGGCTGTAGCAATCATATGACGGCGAATAAGAACATTCTCCATAATGTTGACACTACAAACCTAACCCGAGTGAAGATGGGAAATGGGTAGCTAGTCGATACATTGGGAAGAGGTACTATTGCCGTGCATACGAAGAATGGAAAGATGTTCATCAAGGATGTCATGTTAGTTCCTGATTTGAAGCAAAATTTGCTAAGTCTTGGACAACTCATTGAGCATGGCTACTACTTATATTTTGGAGACAATACTTGCAAGATATATGATAAGAGGAATCGTCAACAACTCGTGGCTAAGATTGAGATGAGGAAGAGTAGAAGTTTTCCACTCACAATTGAGTATGCAACTCAATCTGCATTCAAGATGGAAGTGCAAGAAGATTCAAAGCTATGGCATAAAAGGCTTGGCCACTTGAATTTTCAAAGTCTCAAGAAGCTACAAGAAAAAGAAATGGTGCATGGGTTGCCGAGTATCCAAGAAAATGAAGAAATCTGTGAAGGGTGTGCACTTGGGAAGCATCATAGAGATTCATTTCCACATGGTAAAGCTTGAAGAGCAAAAGTTCCATTGGAATTGATTCATACAGATGTTTGCGGACCCATGAAGACCTCTACTCAAGTGGGAAACAAGTATTTCCTAATCTTCGTGGATGATTATTCCAGAATGACTTGGGTATACTTTCTAAGACAGAAATCAGAAGTGTTCTCAATCTTCAAGAAGTTTCAAGCTATGGTTGAGCGACAATCTGGGTATCTAATCAAAGTTCTTAGAAGTGACAGAGGAGGAGAGTATACATCCACAGAATTTGATAAGTTTTGTCAAGATATTGGCTTGGAAAGACAACTTACTGTCAGCTACACTCCACAACAAAATGGAGTAGCTGAGAGAAAAAACAGAACCATAGTCGAAATGGCTAAGGCAATGTTACATGACAAGGGAATACCTCAATATTTGTGGGGTGAGGCAGTTAATACAGCGGTCTACTTGATGAATAGGCATCCAACAGTGGCAGTTGAAGATAAGACACCATTTGAGGCATGGAGTGGCAGAAAGCCTTCCGTGAATCATTTGAGAGTGTTTGGGTCAATCTGCTTTGCTTATGTTCCGAAAGAACTAAGACAAAAACTTGATGAGTCAAGTGAAAGATGCATTTTCGTACGCTATGCTTCATACACAAAAGGGTACAGACTCTACAATTTAAAAAGGAAGAAAGTTGTGGTTTGTAGAGATGTTCTTTTTAGTGAGAAATCTTCGTGGGATTGGAATCAAGTAACCATCCGAGAGGAATCTGCACTAATCAGAATTGAAGAAGAAAATCAACCAAATGAAAAGGAAATTGAGCCAGAAATTCCACAATTATCACCTGAAAACAGTCCTTAAGCTCACTCTCCTACATTTTCAAGTCCAAGTTCAACGCCGATTCGGTTAAGGAGCTTAAATGAAGTCTATGAAAGCTGCAATTTTTGTGTTGAAGAACCAGAAAACTTTGATGATGCAGTGAAAGAAGAGACTTGGAAGGCTGCAATGCAAGAGGAGATCAATGTCATTGTGAAAAACAAGACATGGGAACTAGTGGACAGACCTTGAGACAACTCCGTCATTGGAGTGAAGTGAATTTATAAGACTAAGCTCAATCAAGATGGTTCCGTTCAAAGGAACAAAGCTAGATTGGTAGCAAAGGGTTATTCTCAGAAACCCGGAATTGATTTCCAAGAAACATTTGCACCGGTAGCTAGGCATGAAACAATCAGAGGCCTTATTTCCGTAGCTGCTCAGAAGGGGTGGTTTCTACACCAACTTGATGTCAAGTCGGCTTTCCTAAATGGAGTCCTAAAAGAAGAGGTGTTCGTTGACCAACCTCAAGGATTTGTTCTTAAAGGACAAGAGCACAAGGTGTATAAGCTTAAGAAGGCACTTTATGGCCTGAAACAAGCTCCAAGAGCATGGTATGGAGAGATCGACTCATATTTCAATGAAAGAGGTTTTCAAAGAAGTGAGAATGAACATGCCCTCTATGTCAAAACAGAAGGTATTTCAGATATCCTTATTGTTTCCTTATATGTTGATGATTTGGTTTATACTGGAAGTAGTCATAATATGATCTTGAATTTCAAGAATGACATGATGAGGAAATATGAGATGAGTGATCTAGGCATGTTGCATTATTTTTTGGGAATTAGTATCATTCAATCAAATGATGGTATCTTTATTACTCAAAAGAAATATGCAAAAACACTTCTAGAAAAGTTCAAAATGGTTGGTTGCAAGCCTGTTGCAACACCTCTAGTTGTGAATGAAAAGTTTCAAAGAGAAGATGGTAGTGGTGATGCTGATGAATCTGTGTATAGAAGTCTGGTTGGGAGTTTGTTGTATTTGACAGCGACTAGACCCGATATTATGTATGTTGCAAGCTTGTTGTCCAGATTTATGCACAAGCCTACTTGCATTCACTATGGAGCTGCAAAGAGGATCCTAAGATACATACAAGGTACACTTGACTTTGGTATTATGTATGAAAGGAATGTTAAGCCCAAATTGTATGGGTTCTGTGATAGTGACTGGGGAGGTAGTGTGGATGACTTGAAGAGCACATATGGCTATACCTTTACATTAGGGACTGGTGTATTCTCTTGGGCATCTAAGAAACAGAAATCAGTTGCACTATCAACGGCAGAGGCTGAGTATGTGTCGGCTTCAATTGCAACTTCTCAAGCAGTGTGGCTGAGAAGAATTATGCAAGATTTTGGTGAGAAACAAGAATCAGCAACTCATATCCTTTGTGACAATAAGTCAGCTATTGCCATGAGCAAGAATCCTGTCTGTCATGGTAAATCAAAACATATTGCTCTGAAGCATCACTACATCAGAGGTGCTGTGGAAGACAAGGAAGTGGATGTGGTCTACTGCAAGACAGAAGATCAAGTTGCTGATATCTTCACCAAGGCATTACCAAAGGACAGATTCATCTACTTAAGAGAACTTTTGGGAGTGAAGCAGCAAAGCATTAAGAGGGAGTGTTAAAAGTTAATGCTTTACTTAAACTGATTCTGCTTTACTGAAACTGATTCTGTGTAAAAGGGCTGACTGTTGCCTTTATCAGTCGACCCATTCTCTTTATCAGTCAACCCATTACTTTAGTCGGCTTATGTATTGAGCCATATATATTAAAAATATCTGAATGAAAATATCAGATCTCTGTTTTTAGAAAAAGCATCAGCCCTCTTTTCCAAAGCTCTCTGCACTCTGTTTCTTTGATTTTCAATCTTTATCATTTTATTCAAGCCTTATTAATGATGAAAGATTGTCTAAATACCAACAGTATCCGCATGTGATTTCGACCGTTTGGGGACCCTGCATTATCCAGTTTAGTTTTATGTTGATAAATGTTGATTTTAGGTTAGCTCTATGTTCATAAATGTTGATATTAGTTAACCTGTTTCCTTTTTTAACCACAGGACATTGCAGTAATTTCAGAAGTTCTGTATGTGATGCCACACCACTGTGCCCTAAACAAGAAATAGAAACCAAAATTGCAGAAGAAGCTTCAGAACACCACTCGGAGAGCAGAGGATGGCAAAATGTCTGAAAGTGGAGAAAATTTCAGAGATTTGCTATTGCGAAATTCATCATTTCTTAGTCTTGCGCAGGAGATTTTTTATCCTAACATGAACAGCCCTACAATCTTAAAGACTTCTTCCATCTACAATTTTGGATAATCCGACAGAAGACTATTTATAGATTGCGCAAATGAGCTCATTGAGTATTTCTGTACATAAAAGTAGTGCTCAGATTAACGAAAAGGGTGTAGAGAATATTGACTGGCATCTTGAGGCTATCATTATTTTCCTAACCTAATAAGTAAATTCTTGGACTATGTGGTGGAAGCAGCGCAAGTATTTCTGCCAATTCGAGTGGTGGCATTTGTCGAATCATCTAATGCTTGTCTTATTTCAGTTTCTGTAATGTTAAAATGTTTCTGAATGCAATATATCTTCAAAATTCAAAGCAATTACTAGAAAAATCATAAGAGTTTGAAAGTACTATGAAATATTGACTCGTTGACAATGAAGCTGGCGGTGATCTATAGTCCAGGAACTCAGATATGTGATGATGAGTATGAGCCTGATGATAAAGATGTATACCCACCTTGATCGTGCCTCACCATAGAACCGATCTAGATGCGACTTAATCTAGACAGATGATGCTTTCGGTTCAAATTTTTTGCCTTTTTCCATTTTTGACAATTATTATGTGGAACGCCATTATGCGCTAGATACAACTACTTTTTCATGAAACTCAATATAAATTTCACAAGAAGTTTTATGCGTCTCTCGCGTGCCCCTTTCTTAAGTGATTTGGGCAAAACTGGTGCATAGATAAAGGTCACTTTTTGAGTTAACTAAACATCTTTTGTTTGTCCTACTTTTTGTTTGGCAGCTCCATTTGGAAGGTAAAGCTACCATACGTAATGGAGCAGTATGTGAGTCCTAAAGTCTTGACTGTATTAGGAGGTGGTGTTCAATCACTCATGGGCAAGATGCAATCATTGGAGGTGACTGTTAGGAGGTGATTGCACAGCATGCATAACTCACGGGCGAGATGCAATCATTGGCAGATTACTATGATGTTAGCTCCAAGACTAATGGGCCTTTTGCCAGAAATACTGAGGTTGGACCAGTTGGAAGGCAGCAAAACCTTCAATTGATAACAAATGACGAGGATAAATCTTATCAAAAAAGTGAGACAGACAACACTCGTAAGGCAGATTCCGCTGATGAAAGAACTCAAGACAAACCTAGTAGCTCTGCAACGAACACGAGGCCAAAAGAAGGTGGATTTTCATTCCTGTCCAGCTTGCAGCTTATTATTAAATTTTACCATTATCCTACTGCATCCGGGTTTTCTGTAATATCAAGTTTAATTTTATGTCAAGTAGTTGTGGGGAAGGGGTCGAGAGGAGACCAATGTTTTTACACTTGGATTTGTTCACTGATTATTTCTAGTGGTGCATATATGTCGTAGATGGGGCAGGTGTAAGGTTGCAGAATTAAACTTGAATCAAATGAGTTCATCGACTGCAAAGGTAGTAAAGAAAAGGTAATAAATCTTCTACGAAAATGTAGAGTCAATCTTCTGGTAACATGTCAGGGCAAGTCAAGCTTAATGAAAATGTAGTAGAAACTATATATTGACTGGCATGTTGAGGTTATCATTGATTTTCTAACCTTGAAAGTAAATTCCTGGAATATGTGGTGGAAGCAGGGCATGTATTTGTGCGAATTCGAGTAGCATTTGTCAAATATTTGGATGAATGTCTTATATGGCTTGTTGTAATGTTGAAATGTTTCTATATGCAATATATCTTCAAAATTCTAAACAACTAATTGAAAAAATCATATGAATCTGAAATAAGTATGAAATATGTACTTGCCTTCATTATCGAACCGAGAAAGCGAAAAACAAAAGAGGCATTTGATGAACTGACTCTGATCTGGCTTAGATATGTGATGATGAGCGTCGTGATGACGAGCGTGATGATGACGATGCATCACCACCTTGATTGTGCCTCACCACAGAACCGAGCTGGATTTGGGTAAAAGCATAACAAGCTTTGTCCAAATCATGCATGTTTTCCTTCATAGGTTTGTCCCATACTAGTTTAACCCCTATTCTATTCACTGTTGAAGAAGAAAAATCTATACCAACTTCAACGCTATCCCCGCCTTGCAAATTGAGCTTATCGTTCGATAATTGTCCCTGCCAAATATGATGGGATTTAGGTTTGTAGAATATTCTATTCCGATCTTCTTTGACTGTGTAGGCTTGCAACTTAATACACTTGGTATTCTTTATAACAGTAATGGCAAGAGGCAGAGGACGATCAGTTCTTTTGCATGAGCTATATAAGCAGAACAGAGTCAACCCTTCAAAATTACGACCATCACTTGGGGGAATATCAAAACTGATTTTAGTGCCCTTTCTGACAAACTCAAACCAATCAGGAACATAATTCCCATGGAAGAAAATGCCACCAAATCCACAAGAAGTCCATCCCTACATATACAATCCAATTATAAAAGTGTCATATATATACACATGTACATGTGCGTTTGTGTGCACGCACGAAGCCAGAAATTTAACTAAGAGGGGACACCTTAAAAAATTTGAGCTCCTTTTTTGGACAAATAAAACTAGTTTTTTTACAAATGCTGAAAAAATTAATTACAAAATGCCTAATTTTATTATGGGAGACTTTGGATGCGGTCCCTAGTTATGAACAATCTTTGACTGAAACTTTGTTGGTTTTCAATTTTTGATCCAAGTCCCTAAAATTAATTGATAATTTATTTCTATGTACGTTACTATATTTTTTAAATTAAAAATTAAAATTTATAGTTGTTTATAGTAATGAGATTTTAAATAAAAAACATAATTTGTGGGATTAAAAATATTAAAATATAAATATACTATTGTGTGTGTGTGTGTGTGTGTGTAAACATGGGTACATTCATAAAAAATAACCAAAAAATGATTGTATCAAAACATGGGTACATTCTTCAAAAATGGGTACATTTAGCAAAAATAAAAATGGGTACAAATAAATAAAAAAATATGAGTACAATACAAATAAAATTGTAAAAAATATGGGCACAAAAAGAAATTAATATATGGGTACAAATTAAAATTGAAAGGAAAATTGGTACAAATTAAAAAAGGGTTGCAAATTAAAAATGGGTACAAACTAAAAATAAAAATATATGATAAAAAATTTAGCCATAAATATAAATATACTAATTGTAACATTTTTAATATTAAATGAATATATTTAGAAATAAAAAATATTTTATTATTGAAATAATTAATGATATTATTAATACAAAGGACCTTGATCAAAAATTGAAAAGTAATAAGGTTTTAATCAATAGAGTAGTAAAAATAAGGATGAAAACCTAATTACTCATGGGAGACTTTGGATGCGGTCCCTAGTTATGAACAATCTTTGACTGAAACTTTGTTGGTTTTCAATTTTTGATCCAAGTCCCTAAAATTAATTGATAATTTATTTCTATGTACGTTACTATATTTTTTAAATTAAAAATTAAAATTTATAGTTGTTTATAGTAATGAGATTTTAAATAAAAAACATAATTTGTGGGATTAAAAATATTAAAATATAAATATACTATTGTGTGTGTGTGTGTGTAAACATGGGTACATTCATAAAAAATAACCAAAAAATGATTGTATCAAAACATGGGTACATTCTTCAAAAATAGGTACATTTAGCAAAAATAAAAATGGGTACAAATAAATAAAAAAATATGGGTACAATACAAATAAAATTGTAAAAAATATGGGCACAAAAAGAAATTAATATATGGGTACAAATTAAAATTGAAAGGAAAATTGGTACAAATTAAAAAAGGGTTGCAAATTAAAAATGGGTACAAACTAAAAATAAAAATATATGATAAAAAATTTAGCCATAAATATAAATATACTAATTGTAACATTTTTAATATTAAATGAATATATTTAGAAATAAAAAATATTTTATTATTGAAATAATTAATGATATTATTAATACAAAGGACCTTGATCAAAAATTGAAAAGTAATAAGGTTTTAATCAATAGAGTAGTAAAAATAAGGATGAAAACCTAATTACTCATTTTATTATTATATTGTCTAATTTTGTCTTTAATTGTTGACAATCTAATGCTCATTTGTACTAATTAACCAAATACATGCAATTCAACAAGGTTTAGATATTAGTGCATGAGAAAAATATCCAAGATGAAGGGGCATTTAAAAACTAAAAGAGGATTTTTATTATTTTAGTATGATTAATTGAATAATCTGCAAAGCAAAAAAAATGGGAATGATTAATTGAATAATTTGTAATGAAAAAAAAAGGATGAGAGGGGGCATGTGCCCCCACTGGGCCTTACCTCCCTCCGTCCATGTTTGTGTGTGCATGTGCACAATAGGAAGGCAATGAGAGAGAGATACCTGTAGGATGTTCGTCGTAAAATCAACTGTGAGATTGGTGCACCTTCCCATATCAATCCGTATCATGGAGTTTAATGACTTATCCAAGCCTGTAACCTCAGTGAGTTTGAGTGAATCACTTACATCCAGTTCTCTCATATTTGACATTTCCGAAAAGTCCGGCATTTTTTCCAATGCTTGGCACCCACGCACATGCAAAAATTTCAAATTTGTTGGTAAATTAGGGATTGTATGAAGGTTAAAGCAACAATTTAAGCTCAATGTTTCAAGCTTTGAAAGACCACTAAGGCTGCGTAGGGTACCAAAACCATTCGATGAAACATCCAAACCTTGTAAAGAAATTAGAGTCCCAAGATCCTTAGGGATTGCATCATCAGCTAAATCGCACCATGAGATATTTAATTCCCTTAAAGAGTTTAAACCATGTAACGAATGGGGCAAACGAATACGTTTCACACCCTGTAGGGATAAACGAGTGAGATTCTTCAATCCTACTATGGAAAGAGGTACTTTTCTTATGGCTGTATAATCTGTTTCAAGTATTCTCAATGATATCATCTCCCCTAAATCCTCATGCACTTTTCTGAATTGTGAACATCCATTAAGAAGAAGAGTCTCAACAGATTTTGACTTATAGAAATCCCTTGGAAGAGAACTAAGCATTTTGCATCCTGTAAGGTTCACCAAAGCAAGTCTTTTAAGATGACCAATGGAGGGGTGAATCTCGGACAATTTGTCACAGCCTTCCAATATCAACTTTTCAAGATTTGGGACTTGTGAAAAGTCCAGTGATTTTTGTAAGAACGTGGAATGACCAAGATTAATGATTTTCAACTTTTGAAGCGACTGTTGCACAAAATCAATGGAAAATTGAAATTAATATCCAAAAGACAGATCACATAAAAAAAGAGAAGAAAATCCAAAAACAAATTGAAACAGAATATCGTCATGTGTAAGTGAATGTACCTTGTAACCCTCCCAAACTTGTACCAATCTGCTCCGCTGCATGTCTAAAATAACTAGGTTCTCTTGATTTAAAAAGTCATCCGGTATGGACTTTAATTGGCATCCACGCCAACTCAACCGCATTAACTTTTTGGGAATATGTTTGTATACTCCATTGAGCTGCACATTGCTGAGCTGAAGCAATCTCAGTTTCTCCATATTTACAAATGCTTCTGTACTGAACCTGAACGCATAGCCTACGAAATCTTGTATTGACAAATGTAGACCAAGTCCTTCAACTTCTTCAATTCCCTGTTAACAAAACGTTATATTGGGTAAGAAAAGGATTATCTGCATATATTTTACGTGATTAAAGAGTTTATTGCCATTGTTGACAAACTTAAACCAATCAGGAACATAATTCCCATGGAGGAAAATGCCATCAAATCTGCAAGAAGTCCATCCCTATATACACAATGCAAGTGTCATATGTACATTGGCGGATCCATATAGGGACCCTTCGGAAGCAAGAAGAAACACTTGTGATCGACTTTCGGGACCCTCCAACAATTTGGGCAGGTGCAGTGGAGAGGCTTGTTGGCTTCATGGATGTGCAGGCAGCAGTGCTTATAACAAAGAAGAGGTTTTTATTTTTTGTTTTAAAAGACGTACCTAGTCAAAATGACAGCATTTTTGAGCTAGGTCATTATAAAAAATTTGAAAATTAAAATATCTCTGTTTTTTCTACAGAGCCCGATAACCCCGGTCTTTTCCATTATTCCCAAACTATATTTAAGAACTCCCATCCCCAATCATAGCAACCTTCCAACTTTAAACCCAAGTAACCTTATTCCCCACCACCATTTGCCGTTCCATCGTCTTTAGCTACCTAATTTTATTTCTTCCAAATTCATATAAGTTTTTTAATCCTAGATTGTAGTCGCAACTCCCCATTAATAATATATATGTTACATTTACAAATTTTATCTTTGTAGAGTCACTAATTGCGTTATATTGCTAAGGATAATTTGTTGGTTTTATTACCTTTGAGATTAATCTTGATTTATTCAATGAATGAAATTCAATAGAAAATAGTGATATGGAACCAAATTAATATTTTTTTGAACTTTTATGTTGGGACCTCCTGATCTTGAAATCCTGGATCCGCCACTGCATATGTATATACATGTACATGTGCGTTTGTGTGTGCATGTGCACAATAGGAAGGCAATGAGAAAGAGAGAGATATATACCTGTAGGATGTTCTTCGTAAAACCAGCCGTGAGTTTGGTGCACTTTTTCATATCAATCAGTGTCATGGAGTTTAATGACTTATCCAAGCCTCGAACCTCACGGAGTTTGAGTGAATCATTTACATCCAGTTCTCTCATATTCGACATTTTCGAAAAGTCCGGCATTTTTACCAATAAAGGGCACCCACGCGCATGCAAAAATTTCAAATTTGTTGGTAAATCAGGGATTGTACGAAGGTCAAAGCAACAATTTAAGCTCAATGTTTCAAGCTTTGAAAGACCACTGAGGCTGGGTAGGATATGCAAATGATTCTCTTCAAGATGCAAATCTTGTAAAGAAATTAGACTCCCAATATCCTTAGGGATTTCATCATCAGCTAATTTGCACTGTGAGAGATTTAATTCCCTTAAAGAGTTTAATCCCCGTAACGAATAGGGCAGAATACTTTTCACACCTTGTAGGGATAAACGAGAGATTCTTCAATCCTACTATGGAAGGTGGTACTTTTCTTATGGCTGTATAATCTGCTTCAAGTATTCTCAATGATATCATCTCCCCTAAATCCTCATGCACTTCTCTGAATTTTTTACATCCATTAAGAAGAAGAGTCTCAACAGATTTTGACTTATAGAAATCCTCTGGAAGAGAACTAAGCATTTTGCATCCTGTAAGGTTCACCAAAGAAAGTCTTTTAAGATGACCAATGGAGGGGTGAATCTCGGACAATTTGTGACAGCCTTCCAATATCAACTCTCCAAGGTTTGGGAGTTGTGAAAAGTCGGGTGACTTAATTAGGAAAAAGGAAAAACTGAGATCAATGATTTTCAACTTCTGAAGATACTGTTGCAGAAAACCAAAAGAAAATTGAAATTAATTTCCAAAAGAAAGAACTCATAGAAAAAGAGAAGGAAATTGAAAAACAAATAGAAACAGAACATCATTATGTGTAAAAGATTGTACCTTGGAACCCTCCCAAACTTGTACCAATTGGCTACGCTGCATGTCTAGAAAAACTAGTTTCTCTAGATTAAAAAAGTCACCTGGCATGGACTGCAAAGGGAATCCACGCCAACACAACCATATTAACTTTAAGGGAACATGTTTGTATTCTCCAATGAGCTGCACGTTGATGAGTCGAAGCAATCTCAATTTCTTCATATTTTCAAATGCTTCTGTACTGAACGCATACCTTTCGAAATCTTGTATTGACAAATGTCGAGCAAGTCCTTCAACTTCTTTAGTTCCCTGTTAACAACACGTCATAGAGGGTAAGAAAAGGATTGTCTGCATGTACTTTCGTCTTTTTACAACCACATATGTTTACGCAGGAATGTTGTTTAATATATAATAAACATACGTGGTATAATGTATAATGCTTTTCTTGTAGGGTGCATTAATACAAAATTTTATTGGAAGTGTACTTACAGATTTATCTGTCAATACTTCGGTTACCACTTGAGGGTTCCACAGTCTACTCCATTTTTCAGGGTGGTTAGCGGATTTTTCAGAAATGATTACTCTGGCCATTTCTCGAAGCAAATCATGCATATTCAACTTGTTGCGTTCAAAAGTTACAAGACATCGTTCACGAAGGACACTGATTCCTATTGTTACAGAAAATTCACATCCATCTAATACTTTTGCAACATAGTCCTTATCCCATCCAATAAAGAAACAAGATATGTCAAGAAATATAGCCTTCTGTGTATCATCTAGCCCTTCAAAGCTTATTCTTAGTGGATTTATTATTTTTCCTTCAGGAGTTCTTTCCAATTTTTCTAATTGACTTTCCCACTCTGCTACGATTCTTTTAATAAAAAAAAAGCCTAAAACTTCAAGTGCTAGTGGCAAACCTCCACAGTAAGAAACGATCTTTCTTGAGAGTTCAAGATATCCTTCATTAGGCCGACCATTTCTAAAGGCATGCCAACTAAAGAGCTCCAGAGCTGCTTCTTCATTCATTTCATGAAGCCGATATATCTTGTCCACTCCAACATGGTGTAGTAAATGTTCATCTCGTGTCGTTATGATAATTCTACTTTCTGGACCAAACCAATCATGATTTCCAGCTATTGCATTCAGTTCCACTTCATCTATGTTGTCCATGATGACAAGTACCCTTCTATGTTGAAATTTTTGCTTTATCAAACAGATACCTCTAGCAACATTGCTTATTTGAGACTTCTCTTTCAAGATGTCAGAAACTAGTGTTTTTTGCAAATAAACTAGACCATGTTTACTTGTAGTGTTGCTAACATCGGCAAGGAAGCTTTTCAATTTGAACTTATGATGAATTTGGTTGTAAATGGCTTTGGCAGTTGTTGTTTTACCCATTCCACCCATACCCCAAATTCCAACCATGAGAACATTTGATCCACCACTTGAAAGATGACTGATAATACCTTGAACGCAAGAATCGATTCCAACCGGGTACTTGGCCACATCTAGTTCGTTTGTGCTCGGAAGCCATTCCGTAATAATCTTGTCAACAATTTCTCTAACAAACTATGCTTCGCACCTGAAAATTGAATTCGTCAACATTAGTGGGACTCAATGAGATATCACTACATAATCAATTTTCTTTCCTTCATATATATATATATATATATATATATAGACACACTAACTAGCTACTAGCTAGTATGTTATTTTGACTAACTTGAACTAAAGAAAGAACGCCATTCATAGGTATATAAAAAGTGGGTGTATTAATTAAACTCCAATTACAGCTTACGTTTTGAGGAATGCTAACCGCATTCTCCATTTTCCTTTTCCCACATGCCTTTTTCACTATTTTTATGTCATGTGGAATTAACTTACACATATATTTATGTATTTAATATGTAGAGAATTTTATTTTTCTCTTTCTTTATATGCCTTTTTCACCATTTTTCTCTTTCTTTAAAAGGAATTAACCAAACAATTATTGCTTCTTTTTTTATTAAAACATTGCCTTTTAAACATTCCTAATTTGTTATGGATTTTTTTGTTTAAATAAATTATGTTCTGAAGCTTTCGGTGGAGTTGTCTTCAAATTTAATTTTCTTTTAAATTTTCCTTGCGGTGTTTTTTCAAATGCACTATTCTGTTCTTAGAAAAAAATTTCCAATAAAAACAATATAGGAGACCAAAGTTAACCGAGAATGGGTACAACAACAACAACAACAAAGCCTTTTCCCACTAAGTGGGGTCGGCTATATGAATCCTAGAACGTCATTGCGCTCGGTTAGATCCAAAATCAAGTCTTTTCTTAGGGTCTCTTCCAAAGTTTTCCTAGGTCTTCCTCTACCCCTTCGGCCCTGAACCTCTGTCCCGTAGTCACATTTTCGAACCGGAGCGTCAGTAGGCCTTCTTTGCACATGTCCAAACCTCGGATATCCTCATTCCCAATCTTATCCTTTCTCGTGTGCCCATACATCCCACGAAGCATCCTCATCTCCGCTACACCCATTTTGTGTACTTGTTGATGCTTCACCGCCCAACATTCTGTGCCATACAACATCGCTGGCCTTATTGCCGTCCTATAAAATTTTCCCTTGAGCTTCAGTGGCCTACGACGGTCACACACAACACGCCGGATGCACTCTTACACTTCATCCATCCAGCTTGTATTCTATTCTATGGTTGAGATCTCCATCTAATTCTCCATTCTCTTGCAAGATAGATCCTAGGTAGCGAAAACGGTCACTTTTTGTGATCTTCGCTAGATTGCTCCGGTCATTAGTGTGGATAAGTATATAAATGGATAGAGATAGGAAAGCAAACACAAGATGTACGTGGTTCACCCAGATTGGCTACGTCCACGGAATAGAGGAGTTCTCATTAATTGTGAAGGGTTTACACAAGTACATAGGTTCAAGCTCTCCTTTAGTGAGTACAAGTGAATGATTTAGTACAAATGACATTAGGAAATATTGTGGGAGAATGATCTCGTAACCACGAAACTTCTAAGTACTGGAGTGTGGTATCGTCTTGACTTTCCTTATCTGTCTCATAGGTAGATGTGGCATCTTCTCTGGAAGTACTCTTCCTCCATCCAGGGGTGGTATCTGTAACTGGTGGAGATGCACAAGGTAATGTATCAATGTCACTTGAAGTAGGGGTGGGTTCAAAAAACCGAAAACCGAAAAAAACCGAAAACCAAACCGAACCGAGGCCGAAAAAAACCGAACCGAAAAAACACCGAACCGAATCTGACCGGTTCGGTTTCGGTTTTTGAGGTTCGGAAACTGAACCAAACCGAACCGAACTGATATATATATATTTAATTATTTTTTTAACTATTATAAATAGGTTAGTCATACAATCATAACAAAACATACCTTGTTGCTAAGTTGGTTGCGGTGAACCTTTTCAAGCCCCAAGGCACGGGTTCGAACCTCCAGGATGTCTGAGATTTTTAAATTTTTTGGAGAACTTAACAAAACCCTTTAACCCTTTAACCCTAGCAGCCATACCCATACCTTTTATTTTTTTTCATTCCCTTCCTCTCTCTCTCGTTCCCTGCCTCCTCTCCTCCAGTGTAACCCTAACCCAGCGCAGCCGAGCCTCTTCTCTCTCTCGCTGGGTCTTCAACTTCAATCGCTCTGTCTCTCTCAATCTCTCAGGCGACCCACAACGGCCCGACCCTTTTCCCTTATCCCTCTCCTCTGTACTCTGGACCCTCTCTCCTTCCTTCCCAACTCCGCCGCTCTTCCGCTTCGTCTTCTTCCTTCACAGCGACCTGCAAGTGTCGCCATCTCACTCGTCGTCACTGATTTGCTCTCAGTTTCTCACCGCCATGACCTGTGACCCACGACCTCTTGCTGTTTCGAGTCTCGACCCACTACTTCGTTCCTTTGCAAGGTTAGTCTTATAATAATTTCTCTCATGTTTGTTCTACATATTTTGTTTTCAATTTGATGCGTTTTGCAGAATTTATTTTCAATTTCATGGGTTCTGTAGCTTTTCAATTTCATGGGTTTTGGTTTTGCAATTTGTTTTGGGTAACTTCAGTTATGAAAACTATTAGTTGAGGTTTCATTAATTTTATATTTTCTTTTGGTTTTGCAAGGTTATTTTCTTTCTGTAGCTGTCATTCCTTGTCGTATCTAGCAAACTTGTGGAATTGTTTGTTAATGTTGTCATCCTTGGAGTTATGTTGCATTTGATGTCGCGGTGGTACTGTTGCTAAATTGCTAATTGATTTGCATACATGCAGTGCTCTGGTGTTTTCTCAGGATGGATGTCTCTTTTGCTATTTGAATGCAGGGAACTCAAATTATTAATGAATCTGAGGATCAGGACACGACCGATTTGCATAAGTGTATAGCATACATATGTGACTCGGCACCAAACCTAGATAAGTCTAATGTATGTTGTGTATTATTATCGTTCCAACATTCGTTTTGTTTTTCTACTGGAATTGAGTCTGATTTTGTAGGTGCTTTCGTATAACTTTCGGTAACTAAAACTGTGTCCTTACTCCTTGCAACTTATTGTGAGTTGGGTAGTTAAATTTGTTGATTACAGATTTTGACACTTTGCTAAATAGACTGCTAGTTTGTTTTTCACCTCTATACATGAACTGAGTTATGTCGATTGGAAACATCAATGTGTTATGTCGATTCTCAAACATTCAAATAATTCTCATATCTGATGATTGCTTCATCCATCTTCACACCGCCATGAGATCCATATTCAGTCTTCTGTTGAAGGCCCTCATTGTGGACTCATACCCATTGGGATGCCATCTGGAAGTACTACAACCACTGGACTTCAATGGGATCTCGGTGAGTATCTCTTAAGAGCGTAAGGCTAGTTAATGCATACTTTTATTGTATTAGGGGTTCACTTAGCATATACTTTTCTGGTCACCTCTTCCTGTTCTGACCTGCTTAAATGTGACCAAAAAGGGAAAAGGCGTGTCTAATATTGATTTCATTGTTCATGTTTCGAGTTATCTAACAGCCCGTGCTTTACTTTTCTTTTCCAGCTGAAACGGAGATGAGGTTTGGTGGTCTGATAAGTACATACATCGAATATCGTCAAGGGAGAGAAAATAACAGTGCAGTCAGATTCAGATCTTCTATGGACTATAAGCATTAAAAAGATGTAGTGCATTTGGAGATGAGATGGGCAAAACGATTTGAGTTTTTTAGAGAGAGAGAGAGAGAGAGCGGCTTTTGATGATTTCAGCGAGTAAATGCTGTAAGGAAGAAATATAGAATGATAAAGTGTTGATGCTAGCACAGGAGAAAAAAAATGGCACTCTGTGATATCTGTGGTTCATTTCTTGTGGCCAATGATGCTGTAGAGAGAACTCAGTCTCATGTTACAGGGAAACAGAATGATAAAGTGTTGTGGTTGTTTTGCATTTTTTGGATGAAAAAAAAAAAAAAAAAAAAAACCGAAAAACCGAAAACCGAAAAAACCGAACCGAAAAAAAACCGAAAAACCGAACCGAAAAAAACCGAAAAAAATTTGAGCCGAACCGAACCGAACCGAAATTTCGGTTTGGTTTCGGTTTTGGCAAAAAACCGAACCGATCAGAACCGAACCCAGCCCTAACTTGAAGCTTACTTGTAGTTTCAGGCTTGGTCAAGCGCGATACAAACCATGTAGTAGGAGTCCCCCAAGTCGCCGAGCTAGGGGATCTGCTAAAAGAGGTGACAGGCAAGGTAAGCAATCAGAGCTCCGGCTGATTGTTCACATTCTCCCTATCTTGCAGGCAGCATGAAGGATAAAGAGAAGAAAAATGAGAAGAAATAATATGGGATACTTTTGCTTTTGAAGAAGTAACTTTCCACAGGCTTATTCTTGAACTGGGCTGGAGGGTTTTCTGGTTTCCTCCAGAGATAAGGCCGACTGAAGAATTTGAGGGTCAAAACAAGTCCATCAAATCTAGAGTACGTTCGACCCTGCTGATATGGGATACTTTTGCTTTTGACAGAGTAATGGATGTATCGGTGCTGTTACGCTTGTCTCCACATGCTTCCTTGTATCCTTCTCACTTGCCCTATCTGTTCCTCAGGCAGATGCGGGATCTTCCCTGGAAGCATAAGGTGTTGAAGATGAGTACTCGAGAGCAATGCCAGGTAAGTAATCAGGTAAGGGGTTCCAGGCAGTCAGTTCCTGGCTGGAAGCTTGATTCCAAGTGCTGACAGATTGCTCTCTTTCTCTTTGTCTTGCAGGTAAGAACAAGGCCAAAGGAAAAGACAGGGAAAAAGCATGATATGGGATACTCTTGCTTTTAACCCTGATGATATGAGATATTTTTGCTCTAGTATAGCTTGTTTACAGAGGTATTATCGGGGGGAAAGAAAGCTGAATTTTTCGAAAGGCTTCGTTGGGAGTGCCCACTCAGATAAGAGGAAGGGTTGAGCATTTTTGCAGGTCTGCCTGTCCGTTGGGGATGGAGGTCGACATATATAGGAGTCTCCCTAGCATCAAGTAATAATGCTATTCCTTTACCCTGCTTGGTCATAGCACGGTAGTGGGAGCTGCCAGCTTCACAAGTTTTAACTCTGTCAGAGCACTTTGAAAAAGTGGTCTGTGGTATCTGGAAAGCTGATGTTGCGTGTGAAGATTACAGACAAGCTTTATCCAAGGAGATCCAGCTCTTGAAGTTGGGAAAGTGGTGCCTCTTCGGTTTTCGAACAAGCAATCCGGTCGGGGATCTGGCTCTCGAGATTCGGAGAACGATGCCTCTTCGATTTTTGAGAAAGCAATCCTACTGGGGGTCTGGCTCTCGAGATTCGGAGAGCGGTGTCTTCGATTTTTGAGAAAGTAATCATGTTGGGAGTCTGGCTCTCAAGATTCGGAGGGCGGTGATGCCTCTTCGATTTTTGAGAAAGCAATCCTACTGGGGGTCTGGCTCTCGAGATTCGGAGAACGATGCCTTTTCGATTTTTGAGAAAGCAATCCCACTTGGGGTCTGCCTCTCGAGATTCGGAGAGCGGTGTCTTCGATTTTTGAGAAAGTAATCATGTTGGGAGTCTGGCTCTCGAGATTCGGAGGGTGGTGCCTCTTCGATTTTGGAGCAAACAATCTTGTTGGGAGTGTTTTCTCGAATGTGAGTAAAGGTTGGGCATGTTTGCTAGTCTACCTTGCCACGAAGCACAGAGGTTGACACACAGGGACTTTCCAATTATCCAGCAGTGGTACTGTTCCTTTACCCTCTCTTCGATTTTTTGAGAAAGTAATCATGTTAGGAGTCTGGCTCTCGAGATTCGGAGGGCGGTGCCTCTTCGATTTTGGAGCAAGCAATCTTGTTGGGAGTGTTTTCTCGAATGTAAGTAAAGGTTGGGCATGTTTGCTAGTCTACCTTGCCACGAAGCACAGAGGTTGACACACAGGGACTTTCCAATTATCCAGCCGTGGTACTGTTCCTTTACCCTCTCTTCGATTTTTGAGAAAGTAATCATGTTGGGAGTCTGACTCTCGAGATTCGGAGGGCGGTGCCTCTTCGATTTTGGAGCAAGCAATCTTGTTGGGAGTGTTTTCTCGAATGTGAGTAAAGGTTGGGCATGTTTGCTAGTCTACCTTGCCACGAAGCACAGAGGTTGACACACCGGGACTTTCCAATTATCCAGCAGTGGTACTGTTCCTTTACCCTTGTGGGTAATAATATGGTAGCTAGACCTTCAAAATTTATGTGTCTAAACTTTCTTAGTGTTGTTTCTTTGCTAATCTTTTACCCTTCTTGGTCAGAGCGATGTAGTGGGAGCTGCAAGCTTCACGTGTCTCAACTTTGTCAGAGAACTTTGGCAAAGTTATATGTGGTACCCATGAGCTACTGTTGCGTGTGGGAAGTGGGTGATTGAACAGTACGATTCATGTGCTTTCTACTTCGCCAGAGATCTTCGACAGAATGCCCACAATTTCCGCAAAGCTGAGTGTGTGTGTGACAGGTGCTGACAGGGCGGGAAAAGTAGGTGCCTCTTCGATTTTTGAGATCGGCCCTCGTGGTCTCTGAGCAGCCCAGCTTTTGAGAAAGCAAGCCTCTTCGATTTCTGAGATCGGCCTTCGTGGTCTTTGAGCAGCCCAGCTTTTGAGAAAGCAAACGCCTCTTCGATTTCTGAGATCGACCCTCGTGGTCTCTGAGCAGCCCAGCTTTTGAGAAAGCAAACGCCTCTTCGATTTCTGAGCAGGCACCTCTTCGATTTCTGAAGCTTCATCGAGTGCAGATTTTTATAGGGGCAGACATTAAGTTCCCAAGCACACTTGAATATCCACCAGTAGAAGCTCCATTCTTGCACTTCTAAGATCTTGATTTGTCCGACCTCTTCTCTCTTCAACACTTTTGAAAATGTCTGGCCCCTCCGACCGTCGTTTTGACTTGAACCTTGTTGAATAGGCAGCCCCGCCTTCTCCAGACAACATATGGCGCCCATCCTTCGTCTCCCCTACTGGTCCTCTTACCGTTGGGGATTCCGTGATGAAGAATGATATGTCCGCTGCGGTAGTGGCCAGGAACCTTCTCACTCCCAAAGATAACAGACTACTTTCCAAACGGTCTGATGAGTTGGCTGTTAAGGATTCTCTGGCTCTTAGTGTTCAGTGTGCAGGTTCTGTGTCTAATATGGCCCAACGCCTATTTGCTCGAACCCGCCAAGTTGAATCATTGGCGGCTGAAGTGATGAGTCTCAAACAGGAGATTAGAGGGCTCAAGCATGAGAATAAACAGTTGCACCGGCTCGCACATGACTATGCTACAAACATGAAGAGGAAGCTTGACCAGATGAAGGAATCTGATGGTCAGGTTTTACTTGATCATCAGAGATTTATGGGTTTGTTCCAAAGGCATTTATTGCCTTCGTCTTCTGGGGCTGTACCGCGTAATGAAGCTCCAAATGATCAACCTCTGATGCCTCCTCCTTCTAGGGTTCTGTCCAGTACTGAGGCTCCGAATGATCCCCCTCCGGTGCCTTCTCTTTCTGGGTCTCTACCAACTGCTGAGACTTCTCCTAAGCAACCTTTGTGAAGGCTCCCTCTTGTTTGTTTATTTTGACTTAAGTATATGTACATATTTGTAACTTATCGGGGATATCAATAAATAAGCTTTCCTTCATTTCAACGTATTGTGTTAAATACACCAAAGCCTTCTTCGCTAAGTTCTTTGAATTTTCTTTTGTTGAAGCTTGTATGTTGAAGCTTTGTGAGTGGAGCATGTAGGTTGAGGTAGTGTTCCCTTAATTTCCCGAGTGAGGAAAACTTCTCGGTTGGAGACTTGGAAAATCCAAGTCACTGAGTGGGATCGGCTATATGAATCTTAGAATGCCATTGTGTTCTGTCATGTGTCATGTCTTCCGTTAGATCCAAGTACTCTAAGTCTTTTCTTAGGGTCTCTTCCAAAGTTTTCCTAGGTCTTCCTCTACCCCTTCGGCCCTGAACCTCTGTCCCATAGTCGCATCTTCTAATCGGAGCGTCAGTAGGCCTTCTTTGCACATGTCTAAACCACCGTAACCGATTTTCTCTCATCTTTCCTTCAATTTCGGCTACTCCTACTTTACCCCGGATATCCTCATTCCTAATCTTATCCTTTCTCGTGTGCCCACACATCCAACGAAGCATCCTCATCTCCGCTACACCCATTTTGTGTACGTGTTGATGCTTCACCACCCAACATTCTGTGCCATACAGCATCGCCGGCCTTATTGCCGTCCTATAAAATTTTCCCTTGAGCTTCAGTGGCATACGGCGGTCACAGAACACGCCGGATGCACTCTTCCACTTCATCCATCCAGCTTGTATTCTATGGTTGAGATCTCCATCTAATTCTCCGTTTTTTTGCAAGATAGATCCTAGGTAACGAAAACGGTCGCTCTTTGGTATTTCTTGATCTTCGATCCTCACCCCTAACTCGTTTTGGCCTCCATTTGCACTGAACTTGCACTTCATATATTCTGTCTTTGATCGGCTTAGGCGAAGACCTTTAGATTCCAACACTTCTCTCCAAAGGTTAAGCTTTGCATTTACCCCTTCCTGAGTTTCATCTATCAACACTATATCGTCTGCGAAAAGCATACACCA